CAGGAAAAAAGTACCATATGCCCAGGTTTCCTTTTATGGATAAGGAAATAATTTTATGCATTTGAGCAATACTGTAAATATACTTGGGGACAATATCTAAGAATAACAGAAACAAAGAGTCTGTTTGCCTTCTGCAAGAAAAACAATGTAGTCAGAGCTCCTCACAATAATAACATACTTTCACCTTCAGAAAAAGCTGATCATGAAGAACGTAAAAATATTCAAAAAATTTAATTAAAAGCAGTAATTTTTCTCATCACTACAGCCTTGACAAGAACATTTTGCAGCAGTATCTGCTGCTTCTCCTCATGGGTGACTTTGAAACATGGAAAAGAAAAGAAGCTTTCACTTATCGAATTTTATTTTGCCATGAGCAAGTCCAATTAACAGAATGGTATAGAGTCCTGCAGTTTTCCAAGTCTAGAATTTTTGATATCTGTTGACAGGAAAGTTTTTTACAGTTGTTTAAGATCTTTTTTTCTTTTTTTTTAGCTTCAGCAGAGTTAGAATTTCCTTAGAGAAATAAAAACCAGAAATCTGCCGATTGAAGTTAGAAATGCCTCTAACCGGTCACAATTATTCTGTGAAGTACTCCTACTGCAATTTGTGATATGTCCTATTGTGACTAGTTTTTAATTCTCTAAGGATGGAAAATGTTTTTTGTTTGGCAGCTTCATACATTGATTGCAGTGTGTATCAACTAAATTACAAAAAAAAAAAAAAAAGCTGTTCTAGTTTAGTATCTCTGTTACTGGGAAAAGCTAAAAGCTCTGGTGCCTCAGTTTTCCAACTATTTCAGTCATTGTGCAAGAGCAATCAGCACACACACTGGGCCCTGCAACACTTGCTGTCAATATAAAATTCCACTAAGTTCAAAGGGACTGTTTCCATGACATTGCCCGTGGATGTCATAGACAAAACCACAGGAATAAGGACTGGTTACTGGGCTTGTATCTTATCTGCTACAAAAACTGCCAATAACTACACTAGCACCAGTTGTTAGATGTTCCTAACTGTGGCAAATTTTACTGCTTGCTGGAGTTTAGAAATAATTTCCACTCTCCTCCAATGTTTACAACCTGTCATTATGTATTTCATGAAATATCATAAAGACCACTGATAAATGTGTCCAAACTATTTCTGAATGAAGAGTTCCTTTTCCAAGATGTTTACTAAGTTAACTTAGATAACCTTGGTGCATCATGACACTTCCACAATATTTACACAAACCATCCATTTCCTATCCTATATTTTGTCTCCTACCCTTTCCTTCAGCATTTACTACTTTCTATCTATAGTCAACTTAATATAAAAAGAATTCATTGCTAAAGTCTCATTTGCTGTTCTAAATGTGCTGGTTTGCCACTAGTCAATCTAGTCTTTGCCCTGATTTTGAGGAATATTTACTAATCTTCCTCAGTTTAATCTCAATGTCTACCACTACCCAGCTACTGCCTCATGAATTTCATATATTTTGGTTTTAAGTCCCCTTTGCGACTCTTGCAATTTACATTTGTCAGCATCCAAAGCTGCTCTTGTAGCTGGAACCATCTCACACTCCTCAGTTACTAGAGGACCTTCCAAGCCCTCAGAATTCATCCTCTTTCTCAGTTTCCACCACTTATTCTTCCAGCTCAACTATACCATTAAAAATAGAGTAACTGACTACCAGCTAAGGAAAGATGCAAATTTGTATTATCCACAAAAAGACTTTTCCTCCTTCGTCTACAATAACCCTATCTGCTACCTGATGCATATTTTGGAAGTTCACGTTTAATTTTAAAAAAGAGAAAAATGGAAAATTTGATAAGGTTTTTTTCTTCCCACTCACAAAAAAACACGGGAGGAAATATTTCTTGTCACATACTAAGTTACATTTTAAAACTGCTGTTAGGTAAGGGTTTTAACTCGTTGTAAAACTTATATACAATCTCTGATGGCAAAGTAGTAAAAAAAAATTAAGATTTTATTCTCTATAACCCTTTCACCCTGTACAGTCAAAAAAAAGGAAAAATGTATATGAACTATAATTTTTTGACAGCGTACACAAATAAGTTTCATCTTGAGTGGTTTACAGACTAACAAAATATTTCTACTACTTGTGTAAAAACATATAAGTGAAAACTCAAAACCATACTTTTATTAAAAATACTACTAATTAAGTAATTTTATCTGCACTAACCAAATGTATAAGGGACTAGAAGATCTCCCATATGGCCTGTGCACTCAAAACATCTGCACATGAGCCTGAAGTCTTTAATACCCCTCTAATGACAGTTGTGTATCACATGTAGTCTGTAACAGCTTTAGGATTAATTATTATCTGTTTTTCCTACCTCATTAATCAAAGACAAACAGTGGATATAATCTATTTTCTCAGACAGATTTTGGAACTGGATGCATGTGTTCAGTCTGTGTCAGCCACAGTTATTCTGAAGTACATAACAGTTGCATAGGGCAAATCAGCTTGCGCTAAGCAGCTGTCCTGCAGCAGAGATAACGTGGAGAAAAATACCACATCAAAAACAATCACCAGAGTCCTTCCTTCTCAACTCTCAGACTTCACAGGTTCTTGAATACTGCATTCAAGGCCATGCTTTGAAAAGCAGCTTTTTAGATTTTTTTCTGGGCTTAGAAACAGAAGTAAGGCTCAATGCTGCCTAACAGAGGCAACTAAAATGAGAGATAATCCTGTGGCTCAGCAGGCAGGCAATGCCTAAAGGTTCATTGCCAGGATATGCCACAGATAGACTGCAGGAAACTAAAGCTGTCACTGCATTTCTCTGAGCCCAAGGGTCCTGTTTGTACTAGAGGGACAACAGCTCCATTTTTTTTTAAATCATTGACATTAAAACTTACATTTAAGTTCTTCAGAGTACAGACAAACTCCCACATGACCACAGCTAAACACAATAGTCTCTGTTCTCAGCTAGATCCTGACAACTAAAAAGGAAAACAGTTTTCTTTTCTAATACTTCTCACACATTCAGCCCCAGAGCAGGCTACCCCACTGTCACATCTCCAGAGGCTCTTCACAGCAGAATGCTGCCAAGCTGAGCAGAGAACACAAACACACACCCATCAAAGGACCTCTGCTTTTGTTTCATGTGTCCTACACACAGGCAAATGACTAGCTGGCACACAGATCATGGTTACCTAATTAACACACACTTGGCTTTACGCAATTCATGAAATGTTGCATTTTTTGCTCAAATGATGTTTGTTTTTTCTCTGTGACTTAATGAAAGTAAGTAACAAAACAAAACAAAAAATCTAGATGAAACAGGTGGAAAGGGTAGCAAAGGGGAGCCTATGGTCACTGCATTTCCTTATAGGCATGGGAAAACTCAGCTGTATTCATGCTGATGGTCTTGTGACACCTTACGAAACCTTTAAAGAATCCTAGAATGGTTTGGGTTGGAAGGGGCCCTAAAGATCATCCAGTTCCAACCCTCCTGCCATGGGCAGGGCCACCTTCCACCAGACCAGCTTGCTCTGAGCCCCATCCAAGCTCGCCGTGAACACTTCCAGGGATGGAGTATCCACAGCTTCTCTGGGCAACCTGTGTCAAGTGTCACAGTGAAGATTTTATCCCTAATATCTAACATAAACCTGCCCTTCTTTCACTTTGAAGCCATTCCCCCTTGTTTTAATCTCCCTTCCTCAAATGCATTTCTTAAGCGTATTCTGTTGAAGCATACTCAAATGTTTCAAACTGCTCCTTCCCAACAGGTGCCTTCCCGGCCCTGCGCGGCTGCAGCCAGGGAAGGGCACAGCCAGAGGCTCCCGGCCGGACACGCACGGGGCTGCCTCGCCTTCCCGCCGGCTTTACTTCGGCTTACACCGGATTTACCACCCAGACTCAGAGTCTCGGCAAGGGAGGGCGACGCGGCCCCTCCAGCAGCGGTAACAGCGGCCGAGCCCCGCCGGAGCCCGCCCCGAGCCCCCTCATCGAGCGCTGCCCGAGCCCCGGGAGCCGGCCGGGAGCGCCGCCCGCGGCAGGCCCCGCCCGGCGAGGGGAGCGGGACCGGGCCGGCCCTGGGGGATCCCCCCGGCTCCGCGGGGACGCGGCTGCACTCACCGCTCCGGGGCGCGGGCGGCGGCTCAGGGAGGGCGGCAGGGAGCGGCGTCACCGAGCCCCGAGGCGGCGGAGCGGCGGCGGCCCCGGTGCCTGCGCCGCTCGGGGGCCGGGCTGGGCGGGGCCGGACGTGAGCGAACTTCCGCGGGGCGGTGGGGTCGCCATGGCGGGTGAGTGAGGGGGGAGCCGGAGGGTGCGAATGGGGGAGCAGCCAGAGGCGGGGTCCCGGCGCTTTCTCAGCAAACTAATGAGGTTTAACGTGCCCGTGGTGCTCTGCCAGCCCGCTGGGCTGGTGCTGTCACTCCCTGGTGTCCTCGTGCCGCGGGTGGAGCGGGCCCCCCACATGTGCTTTACCACATCTCTGTATAAATACATAAAGGGTGGGTGTCAAGAGATTTGAGCCAGGCTTTTCTCGGCGGTGCCAACCAGCCGGACAAGAGGCAGCGGGCAGAAAGTGATGCACAGAAGTTCCACCTGAGCGTGAGGAAGAACCTGGTTACTATGCAGTGACCGAGCCCTGAAACCGATGAGCCAGAGGGGTTGTGGATCTCCTTCACTGGAGATACCCGAGAGCCGCCTGTGCGCAGCCCTGTGCCCTGTCCCGTGCCCTGTGCTCTGGGGTGGCCCTGCTTGAGCAGGAAGGTTGGACCAGCCACCACTGTGGCCTCTCCCAGCCTGACCCGTTCTATGATTGTGTGTGGACTTTACATACTATGATGTGATGAACTCTTTTCAGGCATCTCTGTGGATAAAAGTTGAAGCCAGCAAACATTCAGGCAGGGTATTTAGTTTGGCTTTGAGCCCTGCTTTGGCTGCCAGGGCAGGGCCTGAGGTGCAGAGATGGGGCTGCTTTGTGTGATCAGAGGACGTGCAGTGGGTTCTTACAGCTGTCTGCCCTCCAAGGAGACACCAAGGAACGAGGGCTTTGTGCTCAGCAGTAAAGCACCCACCACCTTCAGCAGGACCCAGCCTTTCCCCAAACTCTTGCAGCTCACATGTTGCTGTGAATTAATTCTGACATTGATGGCATGAGCACTGCATGCGTGCACAGTAACTGCTGCTGTGATTTTTCTCTGCCATACTGTGCATTAGCATCTGACTGTCATTTGATGTCACACAGCTGCTGAATCTGCCAGCACTGCAAAGCCACTGCTGTCCATGCTGCAACTTCACACCTCAGAATGTGCTTACATTTGTTTAATAACATGGTTTTCTTGCAAATAGCAGTAGATGAAGTATTAGATTTCATGACCAAAGACAGTTAATGTAAATTCCACTTTACTTTAATCAATATTTACCAGTAAAGCAAGGAAATCCTTCACACAAGTAGCTGCTGGAGACTGATTTTTTTCTGTATGCTTTAAATGGCTTCAAAATCTTTATTTTCTCATACAGCAAAAAGTCCTCCCGATAGTACTCCAAGAAGGCCTGTTTTATCTGTCAGTGCAAGAAAAATTAAAGATAATGCAGCAGACTGGCATAATTTAATGATGAAATGGGAGAGACTGAATGATAATGGATTTACTACAGCAAACAAAATAGTCAACATGAGGATCAGTGAGCAGTAAGTATGCTACTATACACGAATAAAGATAGCATAAAGATTGCTTTTATTGAGAGATTAATCTTTCTTCACTAGAAAGTTCTTTTGGGAGATGGGAAAAGAACATGTCACAGTGGATAAGCTAGCTCTTAGATCAAACTCAGCAATTGCATTTTTTGGTTACATAAACTATTTACATTCAAGCAATGTCTCATATAGTAATGATAGTTGCAAGAAATGGGAAATGTTTATTTTACATAGTCAAACATAACATTTGAAATACTTATATAATGTACCAAGTTAAAATCTAATTCTATAAATCTCAGCCCATGTGAGTTCCCTTATTTTCTTGCATATTTTACAGTGAGGTGTAAAAAACTCAAGAGTTCAGAAGATTTTAAGAAAGAATCAGTGATTTGTACAAAGTTTTAATAGTGATGATTTAAAACCAACAAAGAACCAGCAAAAATACCACACCACAACCACCATTAAAAAAAAAAACAAAACCACACAGAAAAACTCCTGCTTTGGTAGGGCTTTTATTTTCATGCTGTAATGAAAAACCTTCACTAACAGGGCTTTGAACAGCTTCTCCAGAATCCTGACAGCTGAAGAGGGTTTGTCTGACAGGGTTCTGACAGGTACAAGCTGAGGAAAATTTTGCTGTAATAGTGCCAGATGTTGCTTTTTCTCTTCAGCAGCTCTCTCTCTCTGGTCTTAGTTTACAGCTGGTGTGGGAAAGTCTGCCAGACAGGGCAGGTGTCTGTACATTGGCTGCTCTGGGGTCACAGATTAATGTCTTGGATTAAATTTGCACAAAGGGGAGTTTGTGGTGAGGCACCAGATTGTCCTGCAGAGCAGCTGAAGCCTGGACATACCTTGTCGATGATGAGAGAACAACCTCCAGCACAGGGCCAAGGTAAAGAGGTAAAAAGTGTTATCTTAACACCTGCAAATGTTTTTTCAAGCACATATTCTAAAGTAGAGTAGTTCTGTTTTTCTCTGAAGATTATGGTATTAGCCCCATTGGCTCACATGGCCAGCTATGTTTTGTGCTATTTTTATGCTTTGTGCTATTTTTATGTAGGAATTCTCATGAACAGCCTGCGAGTGAGAGATGTTGTAGGGTCAGACCACACGGATTTTCAATCTGCACTGCTTGAGTAAACCTATATGTAGTTGTTTATGTTGTCTCATGTTTCTGTTTTAGATTTCAAGACAACAAACTGGAGATAACATGTGATAACAATGCCACAGAACCTGAAAAGCCAACCCCAAAATACAATGAAGAGCTGGACAATTTCTGTGCAGAATTACTTGAGACCTTAAAGCATATGGTAATACTAATTTTTCAGATTTAGTCAATATGAATCAATTCCAAGTGTGCTCAAGTAACAAGGAAGTGTCCTGAAGTATTTATTGTAGACAGAAAAAATGGATTTTCATTCATAGTTCTTTGGCTTCAAACCGACATGACTATAAATCCAGAGTGCACCATTTGTTTGATTGTTTGGTAAATTTGAAAGTTGGTATTACATCTTCTGTCAGCTTACAGTTCTACTTCCCCCTTTATAAACTGATCTGGAAACAAATTGTACAAAGAATGCATTCCAAAGCTGCACCTGTGTTCTGTTTCTCATCCTGGATATTCCCTCTGTTTAGAACAAAAGAAACAGCAAAGCATAAAGCAGTGCTTTACCTGCCATCATATCCTTGCAGCTGTCTTTGATCAGACATAATGCAGTCATATTTTTAGCCTGCCTACCTGTATTTGCTGTGCAGATCTCCTTCTTTGGAGAGTGGAGTAAGATAATTATTATGTAATCCACCTTTTTTTCTGGGTACCTTGCTAGGAACTCATGTCACCTGTCAGTTTGACAGGAAGCAAATGGTTTTTTTTCTGCCAGATACTGTAATTTAAAATTCTTATAAAAAATAACTTTTACAGCCTTTTGCCAAAGTGGAGGCCCATTAAAAACATGGTAGATCTATTTTTTTACATAGACAGGATACAGTTCTCCAGTATTTAGAAAAAGCAGGAAACTGGCTAGAGTTCCCTCAGATTTTGTTCTGTGGGGATTTTCTTCTTTTTCCTGATATACTTCTGTATTCAGACTACAAATGCATTGATGAAAGTTTTTGCTCTACCTGAGTAAGAAGAGTCCAAGCAGCCAGTGTTAGATTGGATACTAAACATAGGTACTATGACCTAATTTATTTTTCATTCCTTGGGAGTTTAGAGGTTCATAGAAGTATCTGTGGTTTAGCTGCTTGATGTAAAGATACTGCCTGCAAGCTTCATTTTAGTGTACATTTTCATACCCAAATGCACAAAGTGAGATGAACATGAAGGAAGTGGATGGAATGACCTATTTTTTGAAGCAAACTGTTAGACCAGCCTAGGTATATTGTCAGTAGTAGCTTGAGCTGCTTTTCTCACCTGCTGCTGATCTTTTGCAATTAAAGACATCTTGATATGGTTACGTAAGAAAGTATCTTGTGCTATAGGGCTTGTGCTATACTGGTGTGATGTTTTTCACCAGTGCTAAATTGTAGGAAAAACTAGGGAGATGAAAAAATGAGAGGGCTTTAGTATATTTCTACATGTGGCATGTGGGAAACAAAAGAATGTCTAAAACAGAGTCATATCTGCAGTGTTCAAAATTTCAGGGTATCTCATATTGAGTCTTTATATAGATTCCAGTTTTGATTCCTGTCTGGAATTAAAAAATGTGAGTTAGAAATGTTAATATTAAATAGCCTTCATAAATAGTGTATTTTAAAAAATGCTTAAGATTATAGTAGCCTAATGTTCCTGAAATGTTCATTAACATTTCATGTTCATCATTTTCAGACAAAAATACAAATGAAAATGGAAAAGCTTACTTCAACTACCAAAGCAATCTGTGACTTGGAAACATTCCACCACGGAGCTGGGAATTGCACAGCACCCTTCTTTCATACGTGGCCCACACCATACTTCTGTAAGTAAAATATTGATTATCTTAGCTAATTACATTTTGTCATCAGTGTCATCTAATTTATGACTGAAAAATAAGCTCTCTTATCTGGATGTCTTGCCTAAGAGGGAGAGAATGCTGTCTCCTTTACAATTGACTAATCAATAAACACATGAATGCATCACTTGGTTTAGGGTTACTGCTGGTGACTGCCAAGCATTGTCTGACATACAACAATTACAGCATAGAACTAAATTTGTCAGCAGCTTACAGTGTCCAAGCTGCAACAGCCACATCCTCTGCAGACAGAGATGTATTTGCAACTTGCTGGTGTTAAGCTGCAGGCTTAACTACTTGACTTGTTACTTGACACTGAAATTAAATCCTTGAATGCAAAGAGCAAGCTATACCTCAGTTAATTCTCAAGCAGCCAAAGAAAAATACCTCTGATCTCAGTGTCAATCAAGACAAGTAAAGAAATGTTAACACTCTACTGTTAAAATTAATTCTTTTCGTGTTGACTTGATGGCAAAAGGTACTGCCTCCCAATTGGTATTACCCCAGTTTTAAAACTGTCTGAATTCATGAGAAGCCTGATTGCATGCAAACCAACTGCCTTCTTTGTGAAGTGAAAATCATACTTCTGTGAAGCTCTGCTTCTTACTTCACTACCACAGTTTAGCAGGAATTTTATGTATTACTTTCTGCCAGCTTAAAAGAATAAGAATGACAAAGACAACTGCTGTCAAAACACTCATTGTGACTAAATCATTTAATAATGCTGTCTACTCCATTAAAGACTAAATCCTTCTGAAGGCAGTGATAGTTCAGGCTAAGTTAGCTGCACAAGATCAGTCTCTCTTTAAAAATACTTTGTGTGGTTATTTTTTAGGAATCCAAACAGTGAAAGATTATAGATGCATTTTGACCCCCTTACCAGTTTTACTAACATAACTAGTAACAGTTTTTACAATAAACACTTCAGTTTTGGTCTGTTGGGGTTTTTTTACTGTTGTTTTTCACTATTGATATTACTCATTGGTGATCATGCATTGCTGAAGTGCATCACAGCATGAGGGCATCCTTAAGATTAGCTGAAATCAAGAGCGACTCTAAAATGTGAAGCTTGTATTGCAGGATAGGATTACCAAATTTATGTTATTTGAGGAACAGCTGTAATTGATAATTTTACAGTGGGTCCTGAGAACCAATACCGCTGCTTATTCTATAATTAAATGTGGACTCATGTCAAAATCAGCAGTGTGTAAAATAAAAGCTGAAGAAATTGTTCAGCATTTTATATTCTAATGTAAAAGCATCATTAATGCTGTTAAAAAAAAAAAAAAGATGGCTAAATTTGGGGAATAGCTTATGTAAGGTAGGGTTTTTTAATGATTCACATATTACAAGTATAATTTAGCTTTTAGAGAATTGCTGAAATGTCCTGGTCACTGTGCTTGGTTTTTCAATTCATTTCAGATGAGGTTTCTCTGAAGCTGTCTGAAATGTACAAGAAGGAACTACAACTCAAGCAAACAATTGTACAAGACATTGCTCATTCTGCTGACCAGGATTTGATGATGGTGTATTTATCATCATGGTTGTACCAGCCTTACATTGAGAACAGCAGCATGCTGCTGCTCGAAGCCATGCTGCTGGAAACAGGACACAGGCAGTGCTAGAATTCCAGAAGTTACGTGGCTGGCTTCTGGTGATGCTTATATGAAACTGAATTGGCATATTGCAAGGCTTACTAAGTAAGTTGATTTTTTGTAAAACTTATTAAAAATGTTTTTCTCTATTCATATTCCCTACTTTGTCTCAGCTGATACTCCTTTTTCTGCATGGGACAATCTGGTTTTGGTTGCTATAGGTAGGAAGCTAAATCCTCTATAGTCAGAAAGAGATAAGCACTGTTTGGTGGTCTGGGAGATTCAATGCTTATAGAAGCTACAGCAAAAAATGTTACTTCCTCCCAAGTCTGGACAGCCTAAAATACCTACACGGTCCCTTTCGCCATAGAAATTCAGCAGTTCTTGATCTTTCATGTTTTGGGGTTTTTTTGTATGAATTAACAGGGCAAATGTTTTTGTACCTGCTTTATAAGTGGAGGAAAAGAAAGCACAAAAAGTAGAATCCAAAAGGATCCACATAGTTTGGTATGTGATTTTGAAATGCTGTTGCAGACAATAGTGTAAATTCCAACTTGGTTTTGATTCTAGTGTTGTTGGGTACGTCACCCTCGAAGAGTGATCCAAGCCTGAACCAGCACCTGGGGAAGGTTTAGTACAACTCAGCATTCTACAATCATTATATAATAAGGTCTTGTCCCTTTCAATAAATTTTAACTTTTTTTTTTTTTAAGAGATGTTTCATGAAAGCATCTGTTGAATAAAACAAAACCTGTAATAGAGCTCAGTGAGCTTTTTTCCTTGGGTTACTGTTACTGATATCAGGTGGTTTTGGTTTGAAGGTGTGTCCCTACCTCTGTACCGATGGAAAAGCAGGGTGACTTACCTAATTAGCCCCAAGCTGAAATCTCGTAAGCTTAGTAAGGGAAATACATCAGTTTCCTGCAATAACAGGACAGACAGACATTAATTAGAAAGTTTTCTTGAAATGTTGCTCTCTTGAACAATGAGGTTGTTTCTGGCAGCTAATCATAGTTCTATTCTTAGCCCACAGTTCCAGCATCTAAAAAGAAATTCTGCTGTAGCTCAAGGAGAGTAAAGTTAGGAACAGCTTTGTTGGGTTTTGTTATTTTTTCAGTGGAAGTGTTCCACTTACTTTAACAGCCACCTTAATTCATCTGAGTTGGGCCAGACCTGTGTCACTATGGAAACATGTCAGTACTTCAAAAATATTTTCCAAGGAGAAAAGATAGGTTCACATATATAAGTGTTCTTATGAGAGTAGGTGTATTGTATTTCCCAGCATGTGCAAATTGATAGGGAAGGCAAAATTGAAGCAAGTTTTCATTTTCTGCACAGGTGGAAATTGTGGTTTGTTCTCATTTTGTAAGAGGAAAAAAGCTCTTCAGGAAGGAGTCTTCATAGACCTTCCTGCTTATTGACTGTTGTTGGGCATTGGAAGATTACTGCAAAATCATTGCAGAGATGTTTTGTCATTCTAGCTCTAAGCAGTTGATTGTTGTATTTGTAGCCCTCAAATATAATTATTAGACAGTCAGTACAAAAGAGTATCATGAAGAAGTGCTCATTCCAATCAAAGACTTTGAAAGACCTGCAGAACTTTGTTTTGTACGCTACCTTCACTTACAAGGTAGGTCTGTATCCTCTGGCAATTACCACCTCCTTAAAATGAGAGGAAAACCCCCCAAAACAAATAGTAACTCATTCATAACTCAATGCACAGTATCTTTCACAACTACTCATAAAAGGCAACATTTTGGATAATCAAATTCATCTACTTATGCAACCAAGAAAAGAAAAGAAACCACCAAACAAAAAAGCCTAACCCAATTATGTTTAAAGGGACATAGTAGAGCAATTTATTAAATCTGTAAATTGTCATCTGTTTAGATTCTATTTTAGTGTTTTTCTTCAGTAACAATATAATGAAAAAAAGATCTGTTCATACTCAAGAACAACTCTCCTGTCCTTGGCAGATTTGTCCAATTGTCCCAGTAGTTGCATCTATTCAGCAAGGAGGTGACACACACATTTTAAGGATATGTTTTCAATAATGGCTGCTCATTTAATGCTGTTCTTTTTCACCTGCTAAACTTCTTGAAAGAAAAGATGGGGCCTTGGACAAGATGCTGGTAGGAGGTCTCCACAAAAATATAATCTGATCCGAGGATTATACTGAAAGTATGACAAAAATTCAAGTCATTTGCCAAGTTTTCTCCCTGCCTAGAGCAAAAGTCCCTTTGTATTATGATTAAACAGTACAAGGTAGTGTGGAATTACTGGAAAGGTCAAAGGGTAGAACTGCTAAAGGATGCATCATCTGAAAGGAAAAAAAAAAAGTATAATACCAGTCTAGCAAAAATAGGCCATGACGGACTAAAGCAAAAAAACAATTTGGTACCTTGTTAAGGAAAATTAGATCACTCCTTATGCACTTTCCCATTTATGCCTACATAACTGCAATTTTTAAAGGTGTGGCTGAACATTAGACAGTTGCATAAGATGCAACTTAAATATATTTCCAACCATTCAGTACAGATCAAATCTTGTTTGAGGCTATCTTTGTCTCCTAACTCAGTGAATGCTTATTTCAGTAAGGATCAGCTAGGCTGTCACATTGTTCCAGAATGCAGAAGTGTGGATATACTTAAACCTGCCCATTTTTCCAGGCAGATTTATGTGCATCGAGTCTAGATGCTAATGAATATTCAAGATAGCTTTAAAAAAGCACAATAATAGTGTTTAGTTATCTCAGTGGCATAGAAAATGTGCATTTTTAATATAGCTTTTATTTTACCCATATACAGCTTGCCAGTACACAGCACATCACTGCTGAACAGCAGTACAACTTACTGCATTTTTAGATGGCTAAAGAGAAAAGGAATTATGTAACAAAGGGGAACAGTGCAAGTTTTAGGGTTGACAAGATTTCTACTTTCCACCCATCCCCAACATATAAAGCAAATAGAACAATGTTAATTCTAGAATTTTTGGTTGCAATGCTGCTTGATTATATAAACATAAGTTATAAAAAGTACAGGGCATAGAAACAGTTTACAAATAAGTTAAATTTCAATTATCTCAGTATTCACATTAGAAAAATATACATTTTATAATCAGTCTTTTCCAGAAGAAAGCTTATAGAGTTTTCTAATTTATGGCTCCAATTCACTTTGCGAGAGCAAAATATCTTCACTTTGGCCACCTGCTTCCATTGCCAGTAGTGCTTCCACTGTTTCCAAAGGAATCCCTTCGGGTGTGCGAATGTGCATTGTAGTACCATTGGAATCAGTCACAATAACGATGCCTTCTGCCTGAGACAAAACAGCAGTGTCTGGATGAGACAAGATAAGCCCATCTGAAGTCTGAATAAAAATCTGTTCGTGTCCCTGAGACAAAAAATCATGGCTCTCATCAGAAATCTCAAAAGCTACAGTTTCATCTACAGTAACTGTATTTGCCAGCTCCTGTGCTTCCTCTGTCCCACAAGAATATTCACTCTGGTTTTTGAAAGCATTTTCCTGGTTCCCAGGAGCGGACAGGGAGGCTCCCTGGTTCTGGTGCGACTCGGCCTGAGCACTGTGGGGGTAGTTTATTGGCACATTTGTTGAAAAAGCTTTTTCAAGTTCCTGCATTTCATCAGTCATATTAGCATTATGGAGTTGCTCAGAGCATTCTTTAATTGCTAAATTAGGGTTTTCTTCTTGCAGTTCATGATATTTTGGACCGTGACCATTCTCTTCACTCGTTGGTATGCCGGTGCTCTGCCTGGCCAGTGCCTGCTCTGACACGGAGCTGTGGAGTTCAGGAGCTGTCGGTCCCCCCACCGCACTCCCACTTACAAAGTGTGTCTGAACCAGCCCAACTGAGCTGGTTCTGACAGGCAGTACAACTTCAGTGTGCAGCACAGAAGCTTCACCTGCCACGTTTGGTCCCTGTATGCTCACAGGCTGGGGATACTCTATCCTCATTTCCACAGTTGAGGAGGAGGTACCTGAATTTTCACCATCGATTCTAACTACTGAATCAGCAAGTGAATTATGTTCCTCTGCTGTCTGTAATGTACTTCCAGTTGTACAGCAAGTGATATGCCTATCTTCTGAAAGCAGGATTTCTCCATTTAATGGATTAAAACCTGAAAAGGGGAAAGAAGTATTATTTTGCTGCGCAATCTAATATTGCATGCCAAAAAAATTATTTTTCATCAATAATTTTGGAGGAAAAGTTAGACTACTTCCCTGCTTTGCTTCCCCCCAAATTAGCAAACCTAAAGCACCTTACAGGAGTTTCACAGAACTTCCCAATGAGAAAGTCACTATAAATATATCACTATATATAAAAAAAATTTAAGGAATTTTTGAATAATGATATTTTATCAAGTATTTCTATATTAAGAGACCTTACATTAAGAGGCAGCATTTTTCTCTTCATCCTGGATACAACCTGGGCTGAAAGGCAAACTCAATTTTCTTCCATCTGTCATGCAGTCAGTAACATTACCAGGCACAAACTTGTCAGCTGCTCATCCTCATCACTTTTAGTAAGTTGATGGAAGCATTTAAACTTCTGTTTAAATTTCTATTCTTAATCAAGCTCATCCTGGACTCAGACATGTCATCAGGTTACTACATATTCATTAGCTGTGCTAAGAGCCCTAGTAGCACTTTTGTCCTGTGCCAGAAAAGGTAAAAACCATAAGAAATGCAGTGTTCTATCAGTTACTTGACCTGGACCTGACCAGGATCCCAAACCCTGAAAGTAGTTGAACAATAACTACTCAGCTTCAGTAGTATGAGCTGTCAGTCTTTATCACTAAAGGTCAAAAGGAACAAGTAAGTTGGTTTCGTTTTGGACTTTTTTTGTTAGGAAAGATACCACTGCACAAAAAAAGGAGACCTAACACTGCAGAGAGGACTATTTTTAACATTTTGGTCTGTAGACTAGCAAACACCCTAGTAGCAGGTGCAAGCAAAGCATAATTTTGAAATCTCATAGCCCAGAAGGAAATCATAGTGCAGCAAGAAGTAAGCATGGTCATGCAGAGAGCCTTTCAGAGAAGCAAAATCTAATGGAGGGAAACAAAAATAACCATTGACTGAAAGACATGCAAAGGGCAAAAGCAAAGCCACTTACAGCAACACCAAAACAAGGTATTTACAAAGTGGATGGTACTGATAGATGTATCTTACTAGAGATTTCCTTTCCTTTCACTGTTACCCAGCTAATCTGAAGGGGAGCAGGATGAAACAAAGATGGAATAAAAAGAAAGGCAACCACCTGAAGACTGTGGTGCAAAATGGTGCCTCAATTCCAATACAAGATGTATTCCAGTGATGGATACAGGACAGCCTACACCAGCTTTCCCTTTTCCCCAAGTTCCACAAAGCTCTGGTAATTCTGCTATTGTAGCTGGCTGAGGCCAAGAGGAAGGATGTGCATTCTGCTTCTTCCTCTTGCTCTCCCACAGCTGACACAATGGTCATGCACTCAGAGGGACAGGACAGACAGGAAGCACACAGCAGAGGACAGTACTATGCTTGCAAGTAGTATCAATAACTGATTATCATGCATCCAGAATTGAGCTACTGCTGTCTGCATCATCTGTAACTTTTCCCTCCTCATGAGGCCTTCCCAGTTAAACAGCTGCTTTTCAAGGACGTGGGAAGCAAGTTAAGAAATGAAATTGTAAGACAAAAACCACAGTAGCTTGAAGAAAAAGATTTGTTCAGCTCCTCCATGAACAGAACAGAACTGGAAAATCTGAAGAAGTTACCATCTTTTTCAAGCAGTGTACACAGATTCCCACTCTTTTCTCTCACTTCGTCTTGATTGGCATAAGCACCGTTCACATTCTCTGTTATGTCTCCTAACTTGGTCCTTTTGGCTGGTGGCAACAATTCTTCCCCTGAGCTCTGTCAAAACAAAAGATGATTAACTGCTGCCCCTGTAACACTTGACAATATTGGAAAAGATAACTGGGAACATCATGGCAGTGAACTGATGATCCTTGAAAACAGTATTTACACTAAAGGTCTTCCTAAGAGGCAAAGATTTAAATACAGCATTCACACTTGACCAAAACTCTAAGGGGACAAAATACAGCTCTCTGCTACAGCTGTAAACAGACTGAAGCTCATCAACTGACTTGTCAGAAAGAAAGAAACTCTTTTCATGCCCCTCTATCCGCCACCAATCAGCACAGCAATCACTTCTCCAATGTCTGAACCTGCTGTAGGTTAGGTCATTTCCTCTAACACAGGTTGGAATCTGTGGAGCCCCCACTTACCAGCACCTCAGTGAAGTTCGTTTGTCCCTGTATCAAAGACCTGTGATACTCTGTCCTGAATACTACCAAGTGTCCATATTCAGTGTGCTAGTTCATATGCCCTGCTATGATACCACAGCAGAGAGTACTTTCAGTATTTCTGAACACCACAAAAGCCTTACTTTAGCATGACTCAGATAATACCAGCATGATTTTGTAAGGAATAATTATGCATTTTTTAAAGTTTTAATTTTTCTTAGTTTCATTGTTAATTTTCACAAAGGTGTTCCATACCTCAGCTAACCGTTTTTGTCCCAGTATGTCCACAGGCACTTGCT